GGATAGCCATCGTAGCCCTACTGTACAAATACTTCAGCACTTCAATATACCGACAGTCAACTAGGCACCGCTGAAGAGACTGTAGCACCGCCCAAATTTCGACGGAATCAAAGGCTTTCTCATAGTCCACATACGCCAGGCAAAGTGGCAGATTGTACTCTTCGGACTTCTGTACAATTTGCCGAAGGGTATGTATGTGGTCTATGGTACTGAAGCCTTTTCGGAAACCGGCTTGTTCGGGAGGCTGGAAGTCGTCGAGTCTGCGTGTGAGACGATTTGTAATGACTCTCGAAAACAGCACGTAGACGCGGCTCAGAAGGGAAATCGGTCTGTAGTTCTTCAAGAGAGCGTTGTCGCCTTTCTTAAAGAACAAGACCACCGCGCTTCTGCTCCACACCTCCGGAGTAATGCCACCATGGAGGACGGAATTGAAGAGCTTCTGAAGGACTTCAAGTACCGGTGTTCCACCCGCTTTCAGAAGCTCCGCTGTAATTCCATCCTCGCCCGGGGCCTTGCCGTTTTTAAGGTGTTGGAGAGCCATTCTAATCTCGCTCAGACTGACGTCCGGGATATCATCGGAATAGTGTCGGATAAGACTTTCTCTTGGATCGTTACTCACACTTGCGTGTAGCTCCAACGATGACTTGTACAACTGCCCATAGAACCTCTCAATCTCACTCAGAATCTCAGGTGTCATCGGAATAGTGTCGGATAAGACTTGCTCTTGGATCGTTACTCACACTTGCGTGTAGCTCCAACGATGACTTGTACAACTGCCCATAGAACCTCTCAATCTCACTCAGAATCTCAGGTGTCCCGGAAATCTCAGGTGTCTTCAGCCTTGACAGTTGGCTTCTTCTGGCAGACAGATCTCTGGCAAAGACTTTGGAGCCCTGGTTCCGCTCGATCGCTTCTTTAATACGAGCAGTATTAAAGTTGCGTAAGTCTCGCCGCATGCATTTGGAGATCTGTCTGTTCAGCTGCCTGTACGCTGTCAAATCTGTTGACGATTGCAGCCTCATCTCCCGTCTACAGCCATGAGATTAAGAGTGTGATCGGAGAGTTTTTGTGTTCTTCTGCGGCGGGTCTTGCAGAACTTAGCTCCGACCGCATGGACAGTTTCCACGAGCTTGTCATTCATATTGTCCACTGCATTGCAATCCTCTAGGCACTGAAAGCGGTTTTGTAACTCGAGCTGAAAAATTTTGGGATTCTGGATTAGAGCACGAGGGGGGACGGAGCGTTGACTTCATTAGACGAGACCTCTCCAACTTAACGTTTAGGTTCAGTGTGCCTCTAACCATTCGGTGATCGCTGCCAGTTTTCACCCTTGCGATCACTGAGACATCACTGAACAGTTGGCGTCTGGTCGTCATAATGAAGTCAATCTCATTTTTTGTCGAACCGTCGGGGCTCGACCAGGTCCACTTCCTGTGGGGCCGCTTCTGGAAAAAAGAGTTCATTATAAAGAGTCCCTCTTTCTCCATAAAGTCGGCCAGCTGCTGGCCCCTTCGTTTCCGTTGCCCTACTCCAAATTTTCCCACCCTCAGCTCACCGCTTTCTCTTGTGCCCAGTTTTGCGTTGAAGTCTCCCATCAACACCGTGTAGTGGGTTTTGGAGGAATGCATGGCTCTGGAAATATCCTCATACATTTCCTCCACCTCCTCATCGGGATGTGCCGAGGTTGGTGCGTAAACCTGTATGACCTTCAGCGAATACCGTTTGGTGATTCTGAGTACCAGGTACGCGACCCTCGTCGACACACTCCCAATCTTTACAACGTTGTTGACGAGAGACTTGTGGACGATAAATCCGACACCTCCTTGGGACAGATGGTCGCCCTCCCGGTGGTAGAACAAGTTGCCGGACTCGAGGATTGCCGTATCCTCCCCTCTCTTCGGACCTCGGATAATCCAATAATATGCCAGCGCAACTTGTCTACCTCTTCTTCCAGCTCCAGTATCTTCTCGTCAGTCCTCAGAGTGCGTGCGTTATATGTTGCCAGGTCGAGTCGGCGTAGGTGGCAACCGAACCTCCACCGGAGATTCTTAGCACCCCCTGCCCCGCCGTTACCATGGTCGCCACCGTATCCAGGAATAGCGGGGCCGCCGGGGACTGGGGGCCGTTTTTTTTTGCATCATTATTCATGGGGGGATATTTGCCATAGTTGTCACGCTTGGCGAGTGGGTTGGCAACCGCAGTTTTGTATTATAACACAGTTGTTATCAGGAAGATGCTGCTGCCCATCTCCTGCCTGTCTCCATCTGTCACCCACGGGAAGATATGGGGTAGTGGATATTCTCAACCGCCACTACACGGCGGCATATATTCATTCATTCAACGTTTTTCAGGTTCAGTTAGTGCGATATCAACTCGAGCTGCCCCAAGTCCGCTAACGGAACCCCGCGAGCCGGAGTTGACGTTCACTGGAGCTCTGCAACTTGGGAGTTTGTTGCAACTGACCACGCCTAGCCTTAGCGTCGAAGACCTTACTATTCACGTGAGTTGAAGTTTATGTGTTTTGAATTGTATTCCATCTCGGATCACACGGGGCAGATCATAGATGTATGGGTTTTAGGAGTAAAAATTTTTTTTTTGTTTCAGAATGGTATTTGTTAAAGATTTTTTAAGAGACATTTACTGTTTGAAATATTTTGTAATGTTTCATGAATCCATGAAAGCAGTAGGTGTCAAGCCATAGCATTAATTTATCATAAGATCTTGCTTGTAAATAATTCATAACTGTCATATTTGTCACTTCTGTGCTTGTAGTAAATTTTCAGAATGATTCTAAGTATTGAGACTTCAAATATATTCGACAATATTGACCACTAGCTGAAAATTTGATGATGCGTTTCGTAATTCGAATGGAAAATACTAGACTTTTTTTGTTATTTATTTTAAGTAAACCATTTGTGCTTTTTAGTGCTGAAATATCGACCAGGATTTTATACCAATATTAGTAACAAATTACGAGTATTTTTTAGTGATGCAACGAATACGAATATTCGTATTCGCCGAATAGTAGACATTTACCGAATATTCGTATTTGGCGAAAACTAATCACGAATATTTAAAAACTTATTTTTGTGTGTAATTTTTGGCAAACTTTGAAAACGCGCGTCGTTGGCGCGAAATAATACGACGCATGCATAGCAAGGGCCCGTAGCTGTAACGACGGGGCTCCGAGGGTTTCCCTATTACTGCGAACCTTGGATTCATTCATTATATTCATTTGACAGTCGAACGAAAGCACAGGTCAAGCAAGATAGTTCTGTATAATTTAATTGTTTTGTGAGGTTGCTGTGAAGTGAAAAATAGAAGTTAAGTTCTTTACGTGGTAGAGCCATGCTGCGGTTATATTAGTAGTATAGTTGTAGCTCGAATGGATCGGCTCGACCGGGGAAGGACCACGCTCTCACAGAATACCAGCGTGAAATAGTAGTTTAATGCTGCTGCTTCGTATGCTGAGTGCAGAGGACCGGAGACCCTTATACTGGAAACGAGGCACTCCATCTTAGTCCTTACGGTTGACAACGCATCTGCATTTTGATTTGCAATCGAAGATGGATGTAGATGTCTATGGGCCACAGCAACCACTTACCATCAGGTGGACTGTGTGCTCGTTTGTCACCCAAAAAAAAAGTTGAAGCTCGCCACAAAAATATGTTCGGGGCAGTCGCCTCGGAAAGGCTTTTTAAGGGCTGGAAATATCCAGACTGAAAAAATAAATCGCCTAAAACCAGAAAATCTACAAACTTTATGTTTTTTAAATAAAAACTTGCCCATTGTAAATTCTAATTATTAGAACAATAGAAAATCATCAAATGAATTACTTATTTATTACCACGGCGAAATATTCGTATTCGTATCCGCCAAATAGTAGGTTTGATATTCGTATTCGTAAAAGTAGTATTCATTGCATCACTAGCATTTTTCTTAATTCCTGCTGGAAATTTAAAAGGGCATTTCATAAGCCGAATGGTGAAAAGGAACCAGGTTCGGGGGTCCTCTTGATCCGGCCGCGAAGGACCAATTGAAAAGGAACCAAATGGTGTGTAAACGTTCAACTAAGAAACAGAAGGGGGAAAGGAGGCTTCTCTCGATCCGGCCTCCTATAAGCTAGTGGGTCGGGAGTATGAAGGGAATCGAGGCTTCTCTCGATCCGGCCTCCTATAACGCCTACGTTGGGTTCGGGAACAACGTATGTGATCTCCGCAACGGAGTAACACACAAGGGCGATAACCTCTTTTTCGAATATAGGGGGGGGGTGTGCTTTGAGTGGTTTTTTGAGGGATGAATTTCTTGGGAATCGTTTTTGTTGTGAGAGGTTCTTTCCCATCACTTCCCTACACTTTTTCTTTCTTCTTCTTATTGACTGCTGGTCTTGCACTTTTCCCGAAGTTTCTCCGAACTTTCCCGAAACTTCCCGAAGGATTCCCGAACTTCCCGACCTTTTTTCCCGAAGGATTCCCGAACGAATTGCAATAAAACTCATTTACTGAGCTACCCCAGAGCTATACGCGAAAGTGAGCCGCGCCATTCGCGCGCTTGCGCAACTCAATTACATGAATTTGTTCTATTACTCTCTCACGTTTTACTTAATTACTTTATTTGCATAAGTCATACATCAACATAATTTACCTGTATAGATAGCACAAAACAATATCTACACTACGATATACATTACATTTTCATATCACAAAAAACCTATTATTTATTTAACAAAATATGCCTATTTTACTCACAAGTTCAAAGTCGAAATTTCTTAAATATTTAACATAGAAAGTTAAAACAATGTTTTCCACTTGAAATTATACATAAGTTAACCAATACAACAGTTTAATTTACATTTTCTCTATTCATTTTACTATTAAAACATTTTTAAATTTCTTATACCAAACTATCATTATTTCACTTATACACAGGAATTTTCACATAAAAATAACACAGAATTCACCTCTTTTGCACGTACAAACAATCTGAAATGTTTCACAAGTAATTTTTACATAAATTGCTGAAATTACAAATATTTAAATTTTTACATATTTGGCCTCCTAAGGGCGTGGCTTAGCGCGTCCGTGAACTCACACTATTTGAACAACTAACTTTGCACGGCTCTCGACTATCAGAAAAAATGAAAAGTCTAATATACACCAATATCGACAGTATTAGGTGAATAAATGCTTCTACACAATTTTCAAACTGTAGGAAACTATTTCTAATCAGATTCTTATCAGTTATCATGTTTCTTATCAGATAACAATATAAGTGAATGTTCTCATAAATCAATCATAGCAAATAGGCATTTATTTTCATACAAAACATATCAAACTCATATAAGGCAATACTTATGCAATTAATTTCCGTTAATTCTACTTATGCACAGAGTGATCATCTCGACCGGGGAACAAATCCGATCTCTAACTTCACTTTAATATTCGTTTGAAGTTATTAAGAGATATTACTTAAGAAAACAATAAACTAGTCCGGCCTGGGAGTCGAACCCAAGACCTTCATATCATTAATTCGACATTCTTTAAAATTTAACTAAGCATTTTCTTGTTAGAACATTGCTATTGGACAATTTGCCTTTTTAGAAGCTATTCGTCATCGGTTGACTTAATAAACTGAAATATTCTTATAGGCGCGTCGCCAACAATCTCCCCTCCGTGCGTAAGCACCATTATTTGGGAGGCGTCGCGGGTACCAACACTATTATTCTGGATGTAGGTCCCCTAAAGATACCTGTGTTAGTAATGACGTCAACCACTCTGGTGTGACCGTCTGGTCCCGGTAGCGTTCTACTAATTTTGCCTTTCGGCCACGTATTTCGTGGCAACGAATGATCTATTATCAAGACAATATCACCTTCATTAGGTTCCATGAACTTTCCGTTATTACCTGTTCGAGGTATTAAAGTAGGTATGTATTCTTTCAACCATCTTGTCCAAAAATGGTCGGCTAACCTCTGTGCAGCTTTCCAATTGAGTTGACCCGTCAGATGTTGCTCTAAAAATAATCCAGGTGGTCGATCACCACATGAGCGTGCCAGAAGAAAATGATTGGGTGTCAAACCCTCTTCAGGACTATCCATACTGAATGTTACCAGAGGCCTGGAATTTACCGTATGCTCCGCTTCTAAAAGCAGCGTATGCAGAACCTCCTCCCGTGGGCTCCTTTCTTTGAGCGTAGCGGTCAACGTAATTTTAATCGATCTTACTAACCTTTCCCAGGCGCCACCCATGTGCGGTGCTCCCGGAGGTATAAATTTCCATTTAATATATTTCTTAAATGACTCATTTTCATGCCCTCATAGCATTCTTCGCATGCTTTCAATAATTCTTTATTCGCAGCTTTGAAATTCGTCCCGTTATCGCTGTATATAACGGTTGGTTTTCCTCTTCTGGCGATAAATCGCCTCAATGCCATTATCATTGACGCTGGTGTCAATGAGGCTGCTAATTCCAGATGTACTGCTCTGGTGGTCAGACACGTGAATAAAACACCCCAACGTTTTTCGTGTCGCCTTCCTATAGTCACACTCATAGGTCCGAAATAATCCACAGCTGAACATGTAAAAGGTGGTTCATTGTGAGCTATTCTCTCCAGAGGAATATTTCCTTGTGGCACGTTCTACGGTTTTGACCTGTATGTCCTGCACCACTGACAGTGATGTGACACACTTCGTACTACATTACGCAAGTTCAAGACATAAAATTTCTGGTTCACCTCATTCATCACCGTCTGGTGATTGGCATGTCCAAAATGATGATGAACTTCTCTAATCATCATTTTAACGATTTCATGTTTACCGTCTAATACGACAGGTTTTCTACTTTCCTTGGTCAAATTAGACTTAAAAGGTAAACGTCCATTTAAACGGAGTAAGTTATCTTCTCCTATTTCCATAGATAATTTACTTAAGCGTGAACTTCTTTCAACGCTTTTGCCTGCTTTCAAGCATTTTATTTCCGAATGAAAACACTCGTCTTGAACGAATTTCCAAATTAACAATTCCGCTTTTCTCAAGAGCGCTATGTCCAACGCGCCATCGGGTCCTTTAACCGACTTTGCTAAAACTTTGTTGGAACACATAACCGACTTTTCGGCTGCGCTGTCGGGTCCTTTAACCGACTTTCTTAAACTCTTGAATTTTTCTACCGCTTGTAAGGTGCGTGTAGTTGCCCCAAGGAATTTCTTAAAGCTGCTAAATCGTCCGTAGTCGGGTAGACTTAACGGTTCTTGCTTTCTCAGCGCATTTACGCCTTTTGGCGATTTTTCTTCACCTGATTCTAAGCTTTTTATGGTGTCCACTTGTTTGGGCCATAAATCAGGACTTTTCCTGAGGAATTCAGGTCCTTGAAACCAGTGATGACTTACATCGAAGGTGGAAGGAAAACTTCTAGTGGCGTCGTCTGCCATCACCGCCACGCTTCCTTCTCTGAATCGTAGCAGAACGCCAAATAACGACTTCAATAAGTCCGGTCCGGTTAACAA